GATGGAACTCAGGACCTTGCTCTTGCCAGGCAGGCGCGGTGCCACTGAGCTACGTCCCTGGCCCTACCATTTTTTTTTGGCCATCCTGGCGATCCAACCCAGGGGCATTCTTCTGCTGAGCTATATCCCCATCCCTTTTTATGTTTTATTTTGAGACAAGGTCTTGCTAAGTTGCCCAGGCAGGACTAGAACTCTTGATCCTCCTGCCTCCGCCTCCCTTGGGGCTGGGATTATAGGCATGCACCACCACACTTGATCCAGATATCACTCTTTTGAAAGTAGTTTTGTCTAAAACCATATATAGGCTCCAGTAAGAGTGGTTCATTTAGCTCTTGTTGCTCTTGACCTGGGAAGAAAACACAAATCAAGAAGCTTGGAAAGTAATAGTTGAAGAGACCAAATAAACTCCTTTTTAAACAAGGATGCAGTTCCCCCCGCGCCAAGCACCAGAATTCTTATAAAGTCCAGTGGCCTGTTAGCTCTTCACTAGTATAACGAATACCTGAGATGCATCAACTTGCAAAGAGAACGGTGTATGGCTTTTTGCTCTCATTTTAGAGGTTGCCCATGACGGCCACATATTGCTTTTAGCAGCATGTTGTAGAGGGAGGAGGAGCTTCGCCTTGTGCTGGGATGCAGAAGAGAGGAAGAGCCCAGGGTGGCACAGTTCCCTGGACGGCTAGTCCCTAGCGACCTGAAGACCTCCAAGTTGCCCCCTCAGGAAGGATCCGTCACCTCCTGACAGTGCCACCCTGGGGGCCGAGCCTTTAACACACGGGCCTTTGGAGGACCCTTGAGGTCCTAGCTGTCGCCAGTGGAATGGGTAATGTAGATCTCTGTGTCTAACTATGTCTACCTTTTTTTTTTTTTTTTTTTAAAAAAAAACAGGGTCTCACTACGTAGTTCAGACTGCTCTGGAACTCACTATGTAGCCCAGGCTGGTCTTGAATTCACAGCAATCCTCCTGCCTCAGCCTCCCAAGTGCTGGGATTATAAGTGTGGGGCATGACGCCTGGCTGTGTCTACCCTTTTAACCAGAGACAATTCAGTATGGCTGCGGCTGGCTAGGAAGGGGCTGGAGGGCGGAACGCTGGGTGCAAAGGGGGCGCTTTAACCTGCTGCCACTGGCGCACTGCCCAGGAGTTGTAGTCCTGCCAGTCATCGCTGCTGGTCACCCCCGGCCCTCTGTGGTCCCCTCCACCCCCTTCGCTCTCATACATGTGCTCAGGCTGGCTCCGGGCATCAAGGGTCCCTCATCTGCTCCGGTGGCACTGTCCGCCAGATGTGTGTGGGGCATCCTCCACCCCCGCCACCGGGAGAGGGAGCTACTTACCGCCCAACGCAAAATATTTCCCGTTCTCGGCTGCTCTTCGGCCGTGGCTTGAGTGGCTCCCCCAGAAAGATGTGTCCAAGCCCCAGCCCTCAGGGCCTGCGACGTGCCTGTGTCTGGAGAGTCTTTGCAGGTGTAATCGAGTTAAAGCACCTGCAGATGGTCAGGGCAGGTGCCAACCCCGAGGGCTGGTGTCCCTGGGGAGTGGGAAGGGAGATCTAGGACGGGGAGAAGGAAGGCGATGTTCAGTTGGAGGCCGACGGGAGGGAGGGATCCGTCTACAATCACTAAGGCTTCTTGGCCACCATCAGAATCCAGAGGGAGCCCTGGGACAGAGTCTCCCAGGAGCTGGGAAGGAACCGGTCCTGCCAACTTCTTGATTGTGGTCTTCTGGCCTCTATCTAGCACGAAGAGGAGATAGTTCCCTGTAGTTTTAAGCCACCTGGTTTATGATCATTCATTACAGTAACCCAAGAAAAGGAAGACACCTCTCAGAAGCCTTTAAAATTCTGCAAAGAGTGAAATACCTGTCTCTGATTTTTGGCCTTCAGTTAAATGATTGTGTTTGAATCACTGGTGTCCCGGGGCTTCTACTTTATCTGCATCAATCCTGACTCCCCTCCCCTTGGGCCACTGCACACTTCCTGTGAGTGGATTCTCCTCCTCTGGCCATGCCTGCTCTGCCAGCTTTGCCGACAGCCTGAGGGGCAGAGGGCCCCCCTTTCTCACCTTCCTGGGGTGGGCTGCTCACGCCGAGGTCCAGGAGTGCAAAGCTGAAGGAATCTTTGAGGGCAGGAGCCGTTTTCTCCTACCTCATCTTCAGTTTGCTGTCAACTTCCTGAAGACCGACTTTCCCTTTTAATAAGTGCTCAGCTCTCCGTAATTGCTTGGTCTCCTACAGTCAGACAGATAGAGAGGCCAGGACCCTGCGGCTGCTCACATTCCTCCTGAGAGAGAGGGAGAATAATGACAGTTGTTCAAGGGCATCCTCTGGCCCTGGTGAGACCCACTGTGGAAAGAGAGATTTACCCTGATGTGGGGCCCAGCTTCACGTGGGTGAGGTCCCTGCTGCTCCCAGCTGCCTCTTCAGTGCAGAAATGTGATCGGTCTGCTAGACTGGGGCACCAGAGGCCCTGGCTGGTCTTGGCGGGTAGGGCTGTGCTGCTAAGGAGCAGGAGGCCGAGGGATGGCTCTGCAGGTGAGCAGGTGGCCTTGCCAGCTGTCTGGCTCTCCGTGTCTAACCGTGGGACTGGGCTGTGGTTTTATGCAAGTAGACAGGGCAGGTTCTTGAGACTCGGTGGGAGCCACAAGGGGAAGAAATGAGCACAGGGAGGCATGGGCTGCAGAGGCAGTGGGTGCTGAGGACCGGTCTGCACGCTGTCTGGGCAGGAACCATTCCTCTCTAACCCCTGACGCCTGCCCAGATGGTGGCCCATCCTGGAGCTTTGCTGCTGTTGGGACCTGGAGACCTGGTCGAGGGCCGGTAGGGGGTGCATCTTGCCCAGGAGCAAAGTGGGAAGCCACATGGTGACAGGTGGGATGACCCCCTCTTTGGGCCACGGTGGATGACACAGCCAGGTTCACGTTACAACTGGCTGCTTCTTAGGTAGCACCCTGGGTGGAAGGTTTGACTCTCCTGGGCCTCGATTTCGTCTCGGGCACAGAAGACAGGGCTGTGACAGGGTTCTTGTGCCCTGGTTTAGGGGACGAAAGGTTGTCCTTCAGTGGGGTGTACATGGAATGAGAGGTCCCTGCACATAGAGGAGACCTGGATGGGCTCAGAGAGTTGAAATGTCACCTTCATCCCCCCTCCCAGGAGGACGGGCGTGCAGAACACCGCTCAGCAAGACAGAAATTCACAAGATCTTTCTCTTTTCAGCAGCAAGTTTTGTCTCTGGGTCCTGCAGTGGACAGAACAGTGGTCAAGGTCAGCCTGGGCTGTGGTGTGCGGCCTCAACCTCTGCTTCCGGCAGGTAGACTGCAGGAGGATTATTTTCTGCTCCTGCCGACCACTCAGCACCACTTTACGTGGCATTCAGTGCTCTCTATCGTGAAGGCTGCCCAGCCCTGCTGCCCACTCAGCAGCATTCAGGGCAGGGCCAAGTGAGGGGGGCAGGAAGGATCTGGAGACGGACCTGCTTAGGTGGGGCAGGGGACAGTGCTTGTCTGAGTGAGTTCCAGGACCCAGTGCTCTATGCCCTTGGCATATCCTGTATTTTTACTGTCAGCATATATTACTTTTATATTGGTGAGAAAAACCCTCATGTTTCATATTTTGATCTACAAAGTCAAACTAGATGTCGCTGAATTATAAGCATCAGTGAGGCAATCCTTGAAAGGGAAGGGATTTGCTGGTTGGCTGCCTTGCTTGAGTCTGTATCACTCCCATCTCCCCCACATACCCCTGTCCTACTCTAAAGACACTTTTTACTGGATTTAAGTTCAACTGGATGATCCAGGTTGGTTTTTCTTGGTGGGGGGGTACCCAGGATTGAGGGAGGTGGCGGAACTACTGAGCTAAATCCCCTGCCCTCCAGGTTGATTGTTAATCTCAACACCCTCAACGTGATTACAAATGCAAAGACTCTTTTCCCAAATAAGGCTCCATTCCCATTTTCTGTGATGCGCACACAGCTTTGAGTTTGGGGGTGGAGGGCAACCAACCGCACAGGACAGCCAGAGGGATGGGGTATGGCTCAGCTGTAGCCCTGAGCTGCCCTCTCTCCCTGCCTACTCTCTAAAACGTGGCCTCCCTGTAACTTTTTCTCACTTTTTCCTCACGGTGCAAAGACTTATTCTTCAAGGCCGCTGCCCTTTGCTTTCTGTCCATGCCGCCTTCCCTAGCTCCCTCCTGCCGCCTTGGGCTCCCCTTCTCTCTGCCCTGCCCTTCTCACTGAGCCTGGCTTCCTTCATGGCCAGGGCAGCCTCTGCTCTCAGGCCTCAGCATCTTCTTCTTCTCCACCGTTTGTGGAGTCATCTCTCCCCTCTGCCTTAGGACAGCGCCCCCGTCTGGAGCACAGGGGAACAGCCAGGATGACTGGGGACAGGCAGCGGGGGACTCAGGTAGGTCTTCCTGGGCTGTGTGGTGCGTGCCACCTGGGCCTCCCAGAACTGGGAAGGTTGAACACAGCATTGGTAGGCGCTACACCAGGTGGAGGGGGCCTTTTCTGCTTCTCCTGCTCAGAACTTGGGTGCCCAAGAACACGTGTGACCCTGCTATGTACCCGTGACCTGGCCTCCTTCTCTTTACTCTTGAGGGTGAAAGGGTGCCAGAATCGAGGTTTGAACACCCCAGGGTGTCTAGCGTGGCAGCACAGGCCTCATCATCATGTGGTTCGAGTTTCTCCCAGCTGGGTAATGAGGCCCTGCGGCTGCTGCAGCCTGGCGGGAGTGACTGTGATTTTCTGCTGCTGAAATTAATTGTACGTGGATTAGTTAAAATGGGGGAGGTGTTTCTCCTGAATTATTTACTAGCTTTCAGGAGCCCAGACAACCTGGCAGTCGTGGGTGGGGGTGCAGGCCTGCTCTGAGGGCCTCAGGGTGGGGAACAAGCCTATCTGGCCAGGGGGACTTGGCCTTCCCAGGGCTGGCCAGGAGAAGGGTGCCGAAGGTTCCTCCCACAGAGACGCTGGAGCCTTGTCTGCTTTTCTTTTTCCCCAGAGATGAGTGGCACATTCTCTAGGAGTTGGAACTCAGTTTCCATCCATGTCCTGCCCTGGGCTGTGGCCTGTCCATCCCAACCATGGCTGGTCTGGGGTGAGTACAGGAGCCCCAGATATTCTGGGGGTTTTTGTGGGGTCCCCGGCTATAGGGAGTGGGTGGAAGGCTGGGTGTGGTGGCGCTGGGTGTGGTGGGGTCACTCCTGTGACCCCAGTACTCCTGAGGCTGAGGCAGGAGGGTTTCTGGGAGTTCAAGGCCAGACTGAACTGCCTAGCGAGACCCTGTCTCAAAAAACAAAACAAAAAAGAGAAAATGGGTGAATAAGGATGAAATTAATGAGGAACCAGATTTTCTCTACACCCAAATGCCTGTCCTCAGCAGGTGCTTGTGCGGCCTCAGGAGGGCTGGGTTATGGGCATTCCACCCAGAGCCAGGGGACGCGTGGCCTTCCACACCTGCCAGAGGTGGGAAGGGTGTCCCAGGATAGGGTCCTCTTGGGCCAGTCAGGACTGGGCAGGGCCTGACACTCAATCAGCAGGGCATGGATGGCCTCAAACCTGGGCCCAGAGTCAGCAGCCAGGGGCAAGATCAGAGGCCGCAAGGTGGGAGGTGGTGGTGAGAGAAGACTCAACCCAGAAAAGCAGACTTTGACTTGCCAGAAATATCCAGGTTAGGGAGGAGTCCCCCGCCCCACCCCAGCACCTCTCCCAACTTCCCCGAGGTCAGGCAAAAGCGGACACCGTGCCAGGACTGATCCCGGGCAAGCGTCTTTCAACGCTCACAGACATTCAGACATTCAACCAGAGAAAATACGCACTTTGTAGATACACAGGGGCAAATCATTTTCTCTTTTTGTCCTTCTCCTCCTCTGCCCTCCCAACGATGGGCAATGGAGGCAGATAAGCATAATTCCTCATAGATCAGACAAAAACAAGTCAAATAATAAAGACAGCGTCTCGTATGCGGTGTGGGTAGGGTGGGGGCAGCAAGCTCAGAGCCACCCACGGCCACTCTCTCCATCATGAAACCTTAGGGGCCACCACCCAATCTGGCCCTGTCCCCTGCCACCCTTCTTCTGCTGAATAACAGGGGAACCTCTTCCTCAGAAGGGTGCACCCTCTTCCGCCCAGACATTTAGTTCCCACCGCTGTGGAAAGTGGGAAGTTCAAGATCGAGGTTGGGCTCTTGGTGAGACTGCCCTTCCTGGATTGCAGGATTGGTCCATGTGTGGCAAACACAGAGGCAGCAAGTCTTCCAGCGTCTCTTCCTGAAAGAGCGCCAATCGCACAGTGCCAACTGTCACGACCTCATTTCACCCGAATTACCTCCCAGGGTGCATCTCCAATTACCCGTTGTGGTGAGATTTGGGGTTTCCACGTAGGAATTTGGGGGCACACAAACATTCAGTCTATGGCACTTTCCAAGGTTCCTTATTCACTACGTGAAACACACACACACACACACACACACACACACACACACACACGGAACCCAGGAAGCTGCTGGGCTGCACAGCTCCTGCAGAGGAATGGAATGGGGCTGGATCAAAGGGGCAGCTGCTCCTGAGAGGGGAGCCTGCCAGTCCATAGCATGCACCACCATCGTTTGCAAGAGACGCTCCCAGAGCAGCGTCCATCCTTTCAACCCTTGTCACTGTGCCTCCACCCTGGCCCCTGCAAATACACACACCCTTTGCCCTGTCCTCACTCCTGCTCCAGAGGGAAAAGCCCCTCTCCAGGGCCCAGCTGGGAAGTCTGCAAGCAATTAGAGGAACACTTGTTTGGGTTTAGTCTCTGGGCGGGGAGGAGGGAGGAGTGAGAGGCGGGATACGCTGCGTAACCGCTGTGTAACCGCGAGACGTCCGCCATCCCGCCGAGCTCCTGCTGCGAGCGATTTCATCCTCACACGGAAGTACGTAGCATGATCCGCATCTCACAGAGCTGGAAACGGGAGCCGTGCGGCCAGGATCGAGTGCTGTCCACTTCCAGAGCTCTGCACCTGCTGCCACGTCACACTCCTAGAGGGGCCAGGGGCTCCCACAAAGGGCAGAAGACTGTGGAGAGGGGAGGAGGAAAGACACAGAAATAACGTCCAGCTGATGGCCCTGATCCGAAGTGGCCACGCAGGGGATGTCCCTTCAGTTCAGTGGAACAGGACAACATGCCCCAAGCAGGCCCGGGACATCTCTGGACTCAGATGTCGCTGTCAAACATGCTCTTGCTCAGGAAAGGATGGTGACCTGATCCCAACCTCCTCCCCGCAGGCGCTGGGCCCCACAGTGAGGGCAGTCGCCTGCCTGCTCAGTGGGGTTGTTGCTGCATCAGATCCGAGGCTCACCGAGTCATGCGCAACTGCTGCAGACACAGAGGAAGCCCACTGTCTACAGACCTGGTGTCTCCGGGGCGAGTACCCGGACACGGATTCCTGAGTGCAGATCCGGCCCAGCTGCCGTGGAGTATAAAGTCTTACCCACCTCTCAGGGAGAGGCCCCATCTGCAGAGCTACACCCATGGGCAGAACATTCTTTCATGCTGACATTTTATGGCTGCCGTTTTCGTATATAGACTGCTGTCTGCTGTTACACGGATCCGTAATTTGTGGATTTCAACCAGATGCTCCATCAGAGACAGAAGCAAGTTGTTTGCAAAATGTACAAGTCAAATAAATTAATGGACCAGTAAACAGAGCCTCTCCCTTCCAGATAGCCAGAAAGAGAACAATCCTGATCTATAAACCTGCAGGTGTTCACAGCTTCCTACAAAACCAAAATCGCACCCCCGCCCAGTGGATGTATGCTCTCACAGACAGAGAAGCCAGTAGGGGGCGGCTTGTGGGATCTTCCCCACCAATGCACCTCCTGGCGCCCATGCCTTCCCTCGGTGTGGGCTAACAGAATACATGCCCTATAAAAAGATGTCACTGCCGGGGTTAAGTTACAAAAGAGTCTGTAGCTTCCGTCCTGCCTGCTCCCCACTGGCTCTCTTACTAGTTTGAGGAAAGCTGCCTACCGTGTCTGAGCTCCTCAACAGGAGGCTCACATGACAGGAAGTTGCCTCCTACCAGCAACCATATAAGAGAGCTCAGAAGCAGACTCCCCAAGACCAGCCACATGATGAGGCACAGCTCCAGCAGATAGCCTGGGACAAAAGTTCCACGAGATATCTTGAGGCAGAGGTACCCAGCCAAGCTGTGCTCAGATTCTTGACCCCCAGAATCTATTGTTTCAGGGCTCTAAGTTTGGGATCATTTGTTACACAGCAGTAGCTAACTAATGCACAGGCATAGATATATGATGCATAGACAAGTTCCAGTCTCACATCCATTCTTTTTTTTTTTTTTTTTTTTTTTTGTTTC